ATAAGATTGACGTAGGCGTATATAAGGTTAATGAGAGTATTGGTTTCTAGGAGTAGGTATCTTAAAGGGAGTTTTGCCTTAGTCGATCTTTATGAGATTTAGAGCTCGTCTCAGTCTATTGCCCCGGCTGAGTTATAGCAAGGCTTAGATGTTTGTATGTAAATAGTATCTGCTTCATCCTCCAATATAATCTTCTTAATCTATAGGGTGGTATTGTGTTGTAGTAGAGATGCTTTTTTAGCTGAAATTTCTAATTCTGGGTATAAGGTAGGTCCTTTATTTCTTATTCTCTTTAATCTAGTAGGTATTTCTAGTATCTTATAGAAGCTAGATTTGTTAAAGATAATATTATTAGCAATAAAGACTTAATTATTATCATTTACAACAATATAATTATTAGAGCCTTAATATCCAAGAAGTTAGTATTAAATTATCTTTATATATAGCTTTTATCTCTTAATAGATAGTAATATTGCCTATCTATTTGCACCAATAATATAGAGGTAAGAGAGGTCTAACTTATCTTTAAACTACATCTTATAGAGTATCTTATTTAGGGTCTTACTAGGACTTCTATTCTATATATACATAGCTGTATAAAGGATATAGAGCTAGAGTTTTCATAGTAGGTTTAATTGCTTAAGTATAAATATAACCTTTTCTTAAAGCACTTAATTAAAGGCCTCTACAATCCCATTCTACTTATGCTAATTAGTTGCAGTATAATAAATTATAATGCCCTTATTATAGTAGAGGGTATATAGCTAGTTATTGTAGTTTTCACCACCCTAGTTGATATAAAGGCAATAGCATTAATATTCCAGTCTCTTATATATATTGAGAAGATGTTTAAAATACCTTATAAACTCTAACTTTTCCTTAACTATATATACCCAGCTTATATAAGTAAAGTTATCTACAAAGACCGCCCAATATTACAAGCTATTATATACTATATCTAGAAATAATCCTGTAATATCTACATAGATATATTCTAGCAGATATATTCCTTTCTAAATTAACTTTTAATATAAATACTCTTTCTATTTTCCAACTATATAAAGTTCGCAATTTTCTCTGTGTAGAATTAGATGAATGCTATATACTATTCCTCTTAGGGCATTAATTTCTTTCTTACTTAGATATTTAAGTTTTTTATACTATATTTAAAGTTTGGGGTTACTAATAATAAGTAATATTAAGATAGTATTAATTGCTTCATCTAGTTAATTCATAATATAGATCCCTAATTGTATAGTTGCTATTAAGATTACTTAGTTATTATATATTATCTTAATTTAATTATTATTAAAAGAGATTTTTACACTCTTCTTTATTAAGGTAGATATAGAAATAAGATTGATATATCTATCTAGGGAGTATACTGAGTTATTAAGTACTAGATATTGCAGACTGTTAAGTTTTTTTAGCTGTAGGATATAGTTTTCTAGGTTTTAAGGAGTAATTTATATCTTGCTAATTTTAATTATCTGCCTGCTACTTTAGGGATAAAGAATACTAAAGTTTTCTCTTTTATAAAAGGTATATATTAAAGCTCTATTATCTAGTATGTATACTTACTTAAGTAAATTACTTAACCTTTAATTTTAGTATGCTATAAGCTATATAATAGGTTTGGTATAAATAGCAAGAGTATTTATAACTTTATTCTAATTCTTATATTTAGTTTAGTTCTTAATTCTTAGATAATCTTAGTATTAGTTCCTTCTAAATTGCTTAATATTTAGGTATTTCTTAAGCTCTAGATAAAGTAACTAGCAGGTATTAGAAATATGCCTAAGCTTCTTATAGTAGCTACAAGTTGTAAAATTCTACTTCTTAATAGTAGAAACTATAATAGCATGCTTAATTGCCTCTTAATTCTAGTCTTGCTATTATATCTACTAATTATATTCCTCCTACTTAGTAGCTCTAGTAGCTTCTTTAATAGTAGTAGTTATCTTAATAATAATATCTTTAAGGTTTTATTTAAATAGTAAGCTATAACTTTAAAGAAATACAGTAAGAAACACTTAATACTTAAGTCTAAATTTATTAAGAAACTTATCTATTAGTTGTAGTTATTTAATCTAACTAGTTTTATCTAGTTAAAGAATTTGGTTTTGGGTCTTCTATAATTGCTAAGAGAAGTTAGATACATTTTTGCAGTTATCTAGAGTAAGCTAATTAAGCTTTTATTAGAGGTTGTAGAATATACTATTACTCTTAAATTTAAAGTGCTACTCTAGTATTTTAAGGATATCCACTAAGTTATTAAGACTTTAAACTTCCTATTTGGGATGGAAATTAAGCTAATATTGAATTGCTTTATATGCCTATACTTATTTATGGTATTAAGTGTCTAGTTTTTCTTTGAAGTTAACATCTAAGAGATTGCTTTAAACTGGTAGGTTTTATTTTTTCTCTAGGAAATTGTTATAACCAGATAGAGCTAATAGGTCTTGAATTTCCTTATTTCAGTTAATCTAGCCTTTAGAGGATTTAAGCTTAGTAACTCTAAAAAGATTTCTACTTAGGTTTAGTTCTTTGCCATCTAATATATTAAAGTAGTATAATAGGTTAATATTATTAGCTTATTTTTCGATAAAGGTAGAGGTAAGATAAAAAGTCTAAGATATACTTCTTATAGATAGCACCTTAAGGTATATAAGATAGTAGGGACCTTCTCGAAGTAAAGAAAAGTATTTGGAATGTAATGGAGTTAGTAAGAGGCTAATAGAATCAGTAAGAAGCGGGAAGAATCAGCAGAAAGCTGGTAGAATTAGCAGGAAGCTAGTGGAATTAGTAAGAAGCTAGTGGAATTAGCAAGAAGCTAGTGGAATCAGCAAGTAGATTCTCTATTTAAGTAGCAGGGAGATAAAGAGCTGTAATTCTAGTACAGTTCAAGACTGCTATTAAGTCTCCGCTGCAATAGAAGAGGACTATAAGGTCCTAGTAAGTAAGAGACAGGTAATTAAGTAAGAGACTTAGCTTTAAGTTTAATTTAGCCTTCCGGGCTTATAACCTATTGAAATAAAAAGATTTAAGTTGCTTAATTTATATTAAATATGCAGTAGGAAACCACTATTTATGTATAGGCACGATCTCTTATAGAATGTTCCTCCTTCTTCCACATCTTGCCACCGACTTAGTCGCCTTATACTTGTGATCTCCAATACTGCTTAGGCTTGTAATTCCTCAACGTATTTAGCAGCGTGGTACTTTCTAGATCCAGTAGGTAGTACTTAATAGCCGCCCTAGCTCTGGGATCCTTAATTGCATTCGAATCCGTAGATTCCATTACGTTATAGTAGCGGGTTATGGTTGGTCGGTAATAGGGATAATTAATACTCCTGTCAAAATAATGGTAATCTATCCAAAAATGAAGGCCCTGCACTGCCTTTGGTGGCCACGGACCCTCAATTTCGGCCTGAAACGCCGGTCATCCGAGCGAATCCCTATTGAATTCTAAAGGACCGGGCCTTCAGATTTGAACAGGGATTCGTATGGGGGCCGTGCGGTCATTCGGCGACCGGACGACCGTCGTCGGGCGCGAAGACCTGTGACACCAAATAAGATATATTAAATATCTTTACGCTTATTGTGCATAATATATAATAACCAGCCTTTTATAAGAGTATATACTATAGTTCTACAATACTTATATCTATCTTGCCTTTTTTTATATACCAGTAGCTCTACAGCCTTCTGCGCGGGCATAAGATGCCACCGTCTGAAATGCAGCTCCCGTACCCATTCTCTTCTGAGCGATAGCTGACTTTGTTTGCACAACAGGACTTCGAGAATCTCTTTTCCACTCTCGTCGTTAGTCTGTTGCCGCTTTCTACCCACCGCGTCCGATTGACTAAGGTCGAGTATACTTTCCTCTCCGAGGATGCTATCAACAACCTTGGATCTCTCAAGTTCTCCCAGTCAAACCGCATGGAGCATCGCCCTTCCCTCGTTGTTGTTGCTACTGTTTCTGTGACGGGACAAGAGCACGAACGTGGTCGGGTGCGACTTGGGTAAAATGATTGTTTACAAGGAGAGAAGAGATTCCTAAGGAAAGCTCTGACTTAAAGCTATTTACACAATATTCATAAAGTGAGACTATTCATAAAGTATGAAAGTCACATGATCGTTCCCTCACAGTTTCCCTTCCTTGGATAGGTCGCATGATCGACTTCCCCTTCAATCGTTGTCGTTCTTGTTGTCGCTCTTCGCTTCATGCTTCGAAGCTTCATCGGCGTTGACACGCCGCCGCTTGGCTCCACCAAGGTCTCGGCGCTTGCCGGAGAGGTCATGATGAAAGCCAGCCCACCACCTTACAACTCTTCCAATTGGAGAAATAATAAAGATTTCAAGATAGATCACAATACAGTCTGCTGTGTACATTTATGATCCCCTCGCGGCGCGGCTCTCAACAAACATATAAGATGCAGACGTGTACACACACACACACACACAAAATCGGCGCCCTCCCTCCAGACATTGACAAATTCTTTGCGCAAGGACATTTACCCCACATTTTGGCGCTGACACAGTGCGCCGCTGTCAGCTCTCTGTACTGAGCCAAAATCGGGTTCAACCATCTAGTCGATGTGGCAGCTTGCCCATAGTCCACAGCTGGGCCGGATTTTGCCGGTATCGACTAGGCACTGGTACTGTATCATAAAAGAGGCGCAAATGTGTGGCAAACAGAACCGACCATGCCGATCTGGACGCCCAACCGTCTTCGAGTTGTTTGCATTTAATTAGGCTCTCGCCGACGGCCGCTTGCAACGGATCCCTAGCCTTGGCAGACGCGCCATGTAGAGTCTCGGAGAGTACATTATATAGTGATAATAAAGGGAAGAACTTCACGAAAAAAAAAATACGCTGAGCATAGGCATCAAGATATTCCAAAGCCAGAATTCAATTTTTCCCGTTTGCACTTCGCCAGGTGCTCTGCTCTAGTCCCCTATCAACTCTTCTCTTACCTCATCACCCAGGCAGACAAATTATAATACTGCAATCCACTGTGCCTGTGCTGCGAAGACAGTCGTGCCCTGCCACGTCTCCAGTATATAGCGAAATCCAGCTTGGCTCACATTATCGGCGAGGCACCGAAGGCGGACCGCGCCTTGGTCATCTGAGACATCGACAAGGGAGAGTGCCATGAAAACCCTCGGCGGCTTGTTGAACTTGCGTGGCGGGAAATCGATTGTACCACTGCCCAGATTCACTAAACCGCTCTCCACCTTCATGTCTTGGCGGTATGCAATCCAGTTCACAGTGGATCCAAACGTGACCGAATCCAACGACGTCTTAGCGTGGATGGTAAAGCCGTTTGGGTCGATACCGTCGGCAAAGCAATTAAGGCGGGTAGGATGATCGTTGCTCTGGTCGAGGTGACTGATCCAGACAAGGACTTTGGGAGCATGGTCGAAGGAGGTATCGAAATCAATGCGCGTAGGCTGATCGGGATCACTGGTGGACCACGTGCCGACCTGCCAATCCCGAGGTTTGTTGCTGGGGACCTCAAGCCAAGTGGAAATGCTGCCGAAGACCGTTGTGTCTAGCCAGGTTCCCATAGTGACCGTAAATCTCCCCTTTTTGATATCCTTGGCCACCACTTCAATACGTGGATTTGTGTTCGTCCCGATGTCAATCCAGGAAAACCCAACTGCGATCTTGGGTAGCTCTGGCCAAGGAGGGTCAAACTGGATAGAGCGGGAGGCAGTCGTAGGGCCACCACCTCCAAGGGGACCTCCATCAAAGAAACCTTCGTCATGGTCCCCGTAAGGATGCGTCGGTTGGTCGGGAGGTAAAGCCATTTTTTGACGTGTTGATCTGGGCGTCACCACTCAGGAGAGGTAATGGGATAGGTGATAATTTAATAAAGTAAAGAAAGTACGACGAGAGAAAGGGTTCCTTAAATAGATAGAGCAGTTCACATGCTACGAAAGGAATGCTGTACCCAAAAGTCAAAAACTACACAGTAGTAGTATGTAGAGAGAGCGATGAGCATGTGAAAAGACCAATAATCATGTGAAAAGACCAATAAGCATGTGAAAAGACCAATAAGCATGTGAAAGGAATGATAAGGTGTTTTAGAGATGTTGAGATGTTTTAGCTGTTGCCGCGACGTGGAGGTGTTGAAAGGAAGGGTCTGTGAAAGTACTGTGAGATCCTTGAGCAGGTGCCGTCAGGCGTACATAAATTGGTGCCCAATTCAGGACGTCCTGAATTATGAACCTTAGAATGAACACACAAGCAACAGACAATACAACAGGTAAGAACCCCCATCAAGAATTCTCCCAGTAGTTGAGATATTGTGACCCCAGTCAATCCAACAGGAGGTTCCCCGTGGCCAGGTAAACGTCAATATTCGATTCTCTATAGTTACTGCAGTATGGCAATTCGGCAAAGTTTTGAAAGCTTATATGTGGGTGATGCAGAATAAGGTTCGACGCAACCCAAAAGGCGACAACCCTACCACCGGTAGTTGCAATGACTCCCTAATATGAGGCTCTGCTTGTGCGAGCTCCCGCCAGGCGTGCCGCCCTTTGCAAAAACTTCCCAGATGCCTCAAACACAATCAGTTCGCTCGTAAGCGTAGGACGTATCATGCAGATGCTGGTCAGTCTGTGATTCAGCAGAGGCTGGGGGTGGCATATCGTCTTTAACGGCATCCCCATACCTTCTGTCTGATGTGGAGGCATGTCAACCGTCTTGTTTTCACATGTTCGAACGTCCGACATCTAACCAACCATGCAAGGCGTTGTGACTTAATACATTTCATGTGTGAGAGAGGGGGCATGTGGATGAATACAGAGTAGTATGGTCATGGGTAGCCTCACCGTCTGCCCGGCAGCGACACGAGCTGGTAACACCTCGGCTGGCACAGACTTGGTTGATTGCCAAAACCAGCATAACACCACGCTTTGACACGTCTTGCACGGCCTGTTACATAGACAGGCCCGCTTCTAGAAGAGGTCATAACGAGGTACACCACAAGGGATCACAACGAAGTACAGTACGACACGAGGGACCACAACGAAGTGTGCCCCAACGAAGTGTGCCCCAACGAAGTGTGCCACAACGAAGTGTGCCACAACGAAGTGTGCCACAACGAAGTGTGCCACAACGAAGTATTGTATTACCTTATGTGCCGGTATGCTGGAGCGCTCGGTACCTCTACATAGCCTATTCATGCAGGAAACCGTACCTTACTGTACAGCCGGATAAAACCTCTACTCTTCTTTCTAACCGCTTGGGCGACGCTCCGCCGGCACCTACTCAGCGATACCAGTCTGGAAACTCGCCTTCGGCCTCCAGCCGGATGAAGACACAAAGGTCCTCTCGGGGTGGGGCAGTAGGGGTTGGTTGTCCCTGGCGATGAGGGGAGGTTTGTTGTTGATGATGATATTGGCGGGTAAGGGGCTTATCCGCAGGCGGGGCGAGGCAGCAACGCTGCTATGGGTAGGCGCAGAAGTAGGTTTAGCACTGGTGAGTGCCTGGTTCCAGGAGTTTAGGAAGCTATCGGCGAACTTTTGTGCGATTTCTCGTTTAAGTCCAGTGGTGAATTGTTTCGCAGCTTCTTCGAATTTAGCGCAGAAGGCCTGAAATACCTTCATCTTAATGTTGTACTCCTCTGCGTGCTTGCGCGCGAGCCAGTTGGCTGACTCGATAATGGAGACTTGTTGCATCAAGTGAATGGATAAGATCATGTGTGTGAGAAGCTCTTGATATTCCTCCTATCTAATGAGGGTCTTTGGGTCAGTCTTATAGACAAGAAAAATGACGATGACCTCGGATGACCTCGGACAGCCGAGACGCTGCGGATGCTTCGGGGTCTTTAACTTTATCTAGCTATTGACTTGAATCAAGGAAAAGCTAGGTCTAGGACTCAATATGGACTCGAGATATACATTCAATCTCTACAGTCTCGCCTTGAGGACGCCCACCTTGATAAGAGCATCGACCAGCTGTTCGTCGGTGCCGACCTCGGTCGCATTTGGGATTTTGCTCACCGCCAGCGGCGCGGGCCCCTCACCGTGCTCAATGCCGACGATGTCTCCCCCAATGACCTTGAAGCATGTGGAGTGTATATTGTCAAAGTCAAGCTTGTTAATGTCGGTGGCCATGGTCAGCTTGTACGGCATGCCGTCGAGCGGGGTCTCAAGCCGGACCTTGTCGTTGGGGAGGAAGTCGTGGCGATGAGCAACATGGGGGCGGAAATTGGTGCTCATGCCGTGGCGAGCAATCAGAGCAATCGCCGCCAGGAGATGCTTGGAGTACTTCTCTGCAGGCTTGTCCTGGTCCCCAATGTAGGGAAGATCGTTGTACCTTTGGTCGAGGGGCAGAGGTCAGCGTTTGGAAAGTCTGAGAACCAAGCCTCCCTCCTCACGGCCTTGTCCGGTTATTTTATGTCAAGAGTATCTGTACCATTTGGGCCAGGGGCTTCGGGCGGGGCATCTTCGATTGAGGCCGTTGCATTCTCTTTACTCCATCTGCCCTAGATTTTTGTTCTATCCAAGTCGATGAATCAAGCTAGATCATCCCCGCCAGAGTCCGGTCCTGGTACCATCTCAACGATCGTATATTTATATATTCTTTTTTATCTCTAACTGTTTCACCTGTTAGTAAGAGTACGAGTAGTATATTAGTTATCATACACTTCCTCTTCGCGCTCATATCCCAGCTTCGGTACTCGCTCGGCCTGTGTCTCTTCCGCCTTGGTTGGAGCTTTGTCCCCCGAGGATAAGCTATCGGATGGAGGTCTTTCATCAACGAACTTTTCCAGTGCTATTAAGAGTCGTTCTACAAGAGATGATTCCACATCCTTCCCACCGAGACCAAGACTTCCATTGGACGTGACTGGATTCTTAGCATCGTTTGGCTTCTGCAGCAGGGGGCTGTTGGGGGGAGTTGGTTGCGAAGGGGAGGGTTGAAATGATTGGACCCAATGGGGAGGCATGACGAGGGGGGGTGGAACAAGAGATTAAGTTAGAAGCCAGATTAACGTTGTTGGTGTTTGGGTAGAAGATGGAGTTTGTGGGTGAGTACCTTTCTCATGGAGAGGGCATCTGGACCTTTTGGTGGAGAATCTGGCATTCTTTTACCTTTTGGAGGCCCTGCTCCGCCCTCCACGTCGCATTCAGCGGAGTAGCATCCGTTGCTGCCGCGGCTATGTTCCGGCCCTCCTTCAAATAAGGTGCTTGGCGGGCTTTCCAGCAGGAAATGGTGTGCGTTGAGAGCTGGAAGCTCGATTACCCCCTCGAGGCGTAGCAGTGGCTGCTAGTCCGCGTCATGCATGTACACGGCCCATGAAGACACCATGAGCCATTTCAATTTGCGAAAGGATCTTCACAATGCCCATCTTTATATAAGGTGCTAATATTTCTTGTTACGTCAGAAAATTCCATATCTATCGGACAGAATGAGAGTGATCGCTGAAGGTACTGCCAGTCTTGCGAGCCTCTCATCGCTGCCACAAGAAAGGCTCGGTCGGAAGCAGCTTGGTCCTTCACGGTCTAAAAACACTCGAAAAGGGCAGGGCTGGGCTGGAATCGGCTCGTCAGCATGTAATTGGTAATTGAAAAGCGGGCAGCGCTTTGATGATCGCGATGCTACGTCGGTCATCCTCATTGGTAAGCCACTGATCGCCTTGCAGGAAATCCATCTACCACCCACGTAGCGCTAATGCAAGTTTTACCATATGAGTTTCATCCTGCACTTGGGTAATCCATAGCTCTCGTCATCGGAATGTTCCGACCCATCCTACGCTGGTGAAACGAACTGGCGCCGGGACTAAAAGCGGCACATTCTGGGGGCCGTGCATGCGGCCTTGCTACGCCGCAGTGACATCTGCTGTCTCCCTACATGGCACTTCTTTATTGGTGGTGGCCACTTTGGTGTTACAACAGCCCTATCGCTGATCCACGAGGGCGGAGTCAATGTCAACCGTTGAGCCGCTTCTCCTCCGGGATGACTATAGTCATAACTGTACATGCAGATGATGGTCAAGGTCATGTCCCTTTGGCGACAAGGTGAACTGTACAAGGCTGGGTACAAAGAGGTTTTGGTTGCTGCGAGCTGGGCGAGGGGAGCCCTGTCGCCTACAACCCCCCCGGTCCCCTTTGTGCGATCGCGTAATCAGAGATCATAGCGCATCAGACCAAGCTCTGTGGCCCCGCGAGAAGCGACTTGTCATATGCTAGTGTAGTGATCAAACATGCATGCACTCCACCGACGCCATGGTTCGATTTTCATCCAGACAGCCAACCGTTGAGGGGATTCAGGGTCTACAAACCCAAAGAGGCAAGCCGGGGCGGCGACTGCTGATAACGCCTTCGGTTTCGAAAGTGGAGGAGACAAGGGAGACACCGATAATTTACACACCCATCGAGAGCTTCCCCGCCCCTGCTTCCAGTTTTTACTACGCAAATCCCTCTCATGGACACCGCGGAGATACGAAGGAAAGGTCCGAGCACCTTGTGTGACACCCCCAAGCCGCCCTGGTCACACCCTGGCTTGACGCTTATCACATGTTGATATGGGCCGCCCTCCCGAGGGTTTGGGTTGGTTAATCGCCTCTAGAACGCTGGCCACTCACAAGACCAGCTCCTTGACGGCATGACCGATAGAGGCAGGAACCTTGAAAAGGGGATCGAGATGGGAACAACCCATGGCACGGACCTGAAGGTAGGTAGGTAGGGAGGGCAAGAAATTAATATTCTGTGGGACAAGCCTGTTGCCCCTTGTCATTACGCAAGGCTTTGACATTCCCCTCCGAGGAATCTCCACGGCATTTTGTCTTCTAATGATTTGCGGATAGGGAGTATCGCTTGATGGCTTGAGGGGTATAGGCGTACCCGTGTATTCACAGCCCCTCCACTGGAGACAGGCACTGCGTTGGGGAGTAGTTGAGCGTACCCAATACCGGAAGACGATACTGGTTTGGGTCTGTCACGCATAAGCTGACTTGCTGGACTGACTCGGTGTGGCGGAGAGTCTTCCACTGGTTACGGCCATCGAGTCCGAGGCAAGAGCCGCGTATCCCTATGTCGAAAGCCGGACTGTAGCCTCTGTGCCGTCTCACCTGAGGCCTCGATTGCGCATTCAGATTGCTTTGAATTTGTAGCACAACTCTGCAAGTTGGACGACTATTTGGACCACTTGTGGGTTGTTTATTCCGCCAGAGAGGGGAGGCTCGGGAGCTTACCCTCATAAGGCCGGAACGCTAAGCTACCTATTTACTCCGTATAGTTCAAACGATTTTGCCTTGTCCGCCTTAGAGCCCCACACTTTACCCTCACACTGATTGGGGGCAGGCTCGCAATGTGGTCATCATTGTTTGTTTGCAGAAGTGTATCTGGCCATAAGGAAGAGCTACTGTTTGTTGAAAATCGTTACTATTAATTGGAGTACAAGGCCGGAGGTGCCCCGCTTTCACCTGAGAAACCCATCAACGCCGCATGTTTAGCAATTATTGCCGCTGTGGCTGATACCCATGAGCTGATACCCATGAGCTAGCTACTGTGGCGGGGGCATTGTGGCAGTGCCAAATGGTGCAACTAACGCGTTGAACGGCGAACGAACCGCGTTCAGCCCATCACCAGCCTCCCCAAGTGACGCAATTCACCGATTTGCAGGACATTTTGAGTCCCTATTGTATTGTCCTGCGATTGTATTTCAGAAGATAGCAGTTCGATGCCATAAGCTCCTTCCTAAGCGCCATCATATTCCCACCACCGGGTTCTGCAGGTACGCGCCTCTCCTGACCGCCGTAATTGCGGTAAAGACAGTGCTTACTAATCTCGATATCATATTTTCAGATTCGTACGCAACAATCCGGCCAACAGATCATACGGCAAATATACGACCATATCAAGCGTCTCGAAGACGAGGGCCACTCTCTCCGGATGTTGTGGGTTCCAGCAGGAGAAGAGGATTTCGCGCTGGGACCAAAAGCCAAAGCAGCAGCGCGGAAGGCCACAGAAGGAGAATGCAGACCAGATGTGCCACCGCATTTAGCAAGATCCACAAGAATAAGACTAGCGATAACCAAGCAGCGGCAAATAAGAACACTACCAGAAAGAGTCGGGAAATACTCGAAGCAGATAGATACGGCACTGCCAGGCAAGCATACCCGTACTCTATATGACCCGCTGAAGAGGAAGGAAGCAGATGTACTATCACAGCTCCGCACCGGAATGGTGAGACTTAACAGCTTTCTGTGCAAGATAGGAACGATGGAATCGGACACTTGCGAATGCGGGCTAGCATCAGAGACAGTGGAACACTTCCTATTCCGCTGCGCAAAATGGACCGCGCAACGGGAAGGCATGTTGCGATGCTCACAGATAAAGATGGGAAACCTATCATACTTCCTGGGAGGAAAGGCGGCGTCTGACGGTGACAAATGGGCGCCAGACATGCGGGCAGTACGGGCGACGATCAAATTTGCCATTGCAACGGGGAGGCTTGACATGGACCAGTCAGTAAAGTGAAATTGTGGGGCTTCGGGTGATTATGGAAGAACCGTACGAAGCGAAAATAGCTTAGCGCAAAGGCCCTCTGGGGTGTGTCCCCCCGGGCGAAATAAAATCCATCCATCCATTCGCCGTTGAAGACGAAGAAAATGAACGAAGGCAGAAACACCCCTTCCGGTAGCAAAGTTATAACGCCCACCCGAGATAGCAGCACCGGCCGCGATATCATCCGCGATATTGATATTGATCGAAACTACAAGCGAACCGTCGACACCACTGCCATCGCCACGGCGCCCGAGCCCAAAATCACCGAGCCTACCCCTCCTCAGAAAGAAGAGTCGATTGATCCCCAAACACTCCAAAAGCAACCCGAACCAGATTCCATCGCCGATCTCCAAGAAGACGTGCCAGCCGAACCTAGTGCCCCGCGCGATGTCCTTGCAGATCTCGGCGAAGGCGAGATCGAATCGTTCGACACTCATCGTGTCGACGAAGCCAATGCGACAGTAGATTTCTTGGTTAAGTAGGCGAACGGCAAGTAGACTTGGGAGCCCGAATGGAGCCTCCAGTATCAAGTGCCCAAGCTTATTTACAAGTACTGGGACAGTGTCGATAGACGTGATACTGCCACTGGCCTGGATGTGTATCACGTCTTCCGCGTCCTCAAGCGGGCTACGCCGCCCCAGGTCAAGAAGAAGGACTTTAGGTACCAGGTTCAGTGGGTGGGTTATCATCGTAGCGAGTCAACTTGGGAGTATGAGAGCAAACTCGCGCAGATTGCGCCGGAAGAGCTTATCAAGTTCCACGCCAAGAACGGGTGTACTCCAGAGGCTCCGGCCCAGAAGCCCAAGCGGGGGATTGCTCGGGGTTCTGGGAATCCCAGGAAGAAGGCTAAGGTTGATGATTAGCGAACTGAGCACTGAAATGATTGGAAGACATCACACAAAGCCCAGAGCGCCAAAGGACCACCAGTCGACCGCCTTGCCGTACTTCTTCCCAAGCACAGGGTGCCATGTATTCGACCGTTCCAAGCATCAAGTTGCAGCTCTCCGAGAGACAGGGCAATGGCACCGCTAATTCGATACCTCGTACTCGATACTGGTCGGGTACCCCCCACCGAAAGGCTATTCTGTTTATTGGTCCAGGGTTGGGTCTGATGCTGCTCCCTATGGATGAACGCGGCCGTCAACATTAACCTTCGATGGTTTGTTTGCCCTGTGGGGGTTGCACGGATGGAGCTGGTTGTCCGCCACCGTTGCCGCCGAGGTCCCTGACTGGCTCGAGGCTGAGGAGGATGAGGCTCACCACTAAACGGCGTTTCGCGATCCGGAATAGACGCCCGGTCAACCGGCTGGGGCCCCAAGCCTTGCACCCCACCCTCCCCTTCCTTCGCATCATGCTTTTAAAAGTGTCCGTATGCCCTTGACATAGCCTACCTCGAGCTTGCTTCTCCCTGTCTCTGATCTAAACCCCTCCTCTTCCTTCAACTTCCTTCAACGGCATAGATCTGCCTCTTATAAACGCCGCCGCCTCGCGCCACAAGGACACTTTCACGTATGCCGAGTTCCCCGTCGGTGCCCATTTCATCTATTCATCTAGCTCTTCCGACACGAGGCATGCCATCACAATAGCCCTTTCTATTCTCCATAATCCCCAACCCTCCCTTATCTACAGCCTTTTCGCTCTGCCTCTGCTCGTCCCCTAGTACAGACATACTCAAGGCCGCACTGCGCTCCACTCCTATAACCTAAGCATTTGGTGAGCTTGCCTATTCTGGAAAGTGGCCACCCATAATACCATTCCCAGTCTAACAAATACCTACGGCAGTCACTTCCAGCAACCATGTGCGACTTCACGAAAAACTACTATATTTACACGTCCTGCATGGATTCCGGGACTTACTTCTGCAAGACCTCTACTGATGGAAACCGAAAACAATCTTGCCCCAAAGGCCCTCATGAGCGCTACATCATGATTCCTGAGAATTGCCCGCTGTGCTGTGGCTGAGCTAAGCTCACGGATTTTCGACTCCATGGCGGCCGCTCCCTTGCTTAGCTCAACAGGAGCTCTCACTTCTCAACTTCTTGTCCTTCTTACTTATGGTCCATCCCGGAACACATGCGGCACTCCTGGCCGGCAGGGTGTCACTTGGTGGTGGATTATCTCATCTGGTACTATGGTATTCCCTGGGCTCTTTTGAGTAGGTGTTCGGCCACAACGGTTTTGGGTTGGCCTGGGAAATGTCTTCATTCTACTACGGTCGGTCCTGTTGAATCTCGGCAGCACCTCCAAGCGAGGAAATATTGGCGATTGCGGAGGCCCGTGATCGAACACGCCATGGGCCGTGACAAGCCGAGGAGGGGATATGGAGAACAGGTTACACTGGGTGTGGATCAAAGGCCCAGGGCGCCACGCGGAGAGTTCAAGCTGTAGCTTTGACCTCTCTTCAGAAAGTCCACGAGAGGGGTCCTTGCGTTTTCTCACCGTTTGCGCACCGCTCGGGCACTACCCACCATGTGGGCATGGCGAGACTTTTTTTCTTTATTTTGGAAGAGGATGGGAGTACAAGAAGGGCATTCTACTGGTGCTAGGCGATATTGCGGCATTTTAAGAGGTTTCTGTTCATACCTTCATACCCAACGGCCGGCGTTACAGTGTGTTCCTGCACGTCTATTAACGGGCTTTCCGGAGGGGAAAAAGTTAGGGATTATTGCATTTAATTGATCTGAAGCAAGTCTCCAGACCTGACGCATAATAAGTTTGTGGAAGATTGGAAGAACCATGACGGTGTTACTTGGTGCGTTGACTGACGTCTTGAGCGAGTAATACCCTGATGGTCTTAACTCATCCTGTCCGACCATATAGTCAGTGGGACTGGTCCTCGTACGATCCATTCGGTTTAACCCTGTGCCTGCTCTGATTCCTCAATTGTTCTGCGACGACGACGTCAAGGAGCTGTCGTTGTTGCATGCGGAGGGAGCTCAGAGCCGAGCCCATTGTTGGTCCGTGTTGAGGCGATAGCTTGGGATTGGATGGGGTCTGTATTATCTCCAATATACCGTCCCCGAAGAATGACTACTTTCCCTGCCAGTAGCGACGACAAGCAGACTCTTGCCTTTGCCATTCCTCCAGTCCAAAAGTAGAGATAATTGCTTTCTTACAAAGGACATCTGTTATGGCCAGGCTCGACCCTGAGCTGGTCCGCTCGGTAGTTAGTGCCCAAACCAGCCCGGCATGCCCCATAGAAGCGATGCTGCATGAAGACTACTATAAACTATCGCCATCAGTGTGATGCTTCCGCAATCTACGCTACTTCATGTACAATGAGGTTTGGAGGTGTCATCGGTGATTTTTGATTTTTTTTACTTCTGCGACCCCCCGGGAGAGGGACAGCGGAGAACATGGGCGGAGATTGGTTGGTGGGTTCGACGGAGAGGGCGTAGTACAGCGTGTGTTACATGAGAAAAAGTAAAGTCGGCTTCCCAGCCGAAAGAGGCGACAAGCAGCAGACAAGTACAGACACAGCTAGGGCTGGACTGGACTGGGCTGGAGCTCGACGGGCTGCCTCGTCTGGTGTTCTGCTACTGCGAGACTTGATGCTAGGGAGTCTAGCCTACCAGAACGTGGGCCAGCAACGTGATTATACCCCGGGAGATGTTTCATCGTACAGCCTCGACACGCGGCATCGAGAGGGTGAGCGACACGAGGATACGGGGTCAATGTACTAGGAGCATTCACTCCAAGGGCGGGCACTGGAAGGATGAAAGACCAGGAGCTCATGTGCCTAAGGTAGCTAAGGTCCCCGAAGGTGAGGTCCGGTATCTGTACCGAGTACGCACTATGGTAGAGGGAAGGCTAAGGATGGTGGGATCTGAGATGCAGCCAGGTAAGTGGAAGCCACGCCAGGCGGGAAAGGTAAGGAGAGGTTCACGGGGTGGCAGGTAGTACTGTGCCTTCCGTGCATCGTACATCGTACCTACCTCCATCGTACGTCGTCCCTCCGCGAAGGATCCTGCAGCCCTTTGCTACGTCGCTTAGATCGATGTCCGTGAGTCCGTGAGTGGAGAGGACCAAAAAGCGCCCGGCAGCAGACGCCAAGAGGACACACCCAGCGGACATCCAGCGACACCCAGCGACACCCAGCGATACCGGTTACTACCTTAATAGGCCCCAACGGCCGTGCCGCTGCAGATGCGGCAACGGGGCTGCCCCTGAGGTAATAAGAAAAGCCCCATGCTTCGCTCTGTCAACACACCTACCTTCACCTTTGACGTACCTAAGGTAGGAGTGCCCGCCCCGTCTCCATCCCGCCCATCCTACGTCCACCACGCCCACCAAGGCCACTCCGCCCACCACGCCAAATACCACTACCAAGGCTACCCAAGTCAAGCTACGACGCCTCCGCTCCAGTTTACGGCAGCCTATAGGGGTCACTGTTGCAAAACCCCAAAAGCACGTTCACAACAAGTGAAGTGGGTCTGCATAAATAAACATCCGCCCCACAGTACATTGAGCTATGTACTTTTACGCACAACCTTATTGAATTTAGACTTAGTAGACAACAGCAGCAAGAGCAGCGAGACCGCAGCGAACCAGCACGGAATAGCATCATCCCTTATCTCGGACAAAGTCCCTCTACAAAAGGGCTAACCGCCTCCTTTATTGACAATATTAACGCTCAATTCTCTTCCTCCTCTTCAATGCTGTCTTCCTCGTCCGGCTTGTTGAACTGCTACGCATGGATTTAGCCACTGAAATGTTGTTACAGGTTAACCCACTTACAGTCCAGAGTCGAGCAGCCTCAGCGATGACCTCCAGCGCCGCAACCTTTCGCTCCTCAAGCGTCATTTCACCTGCTTCACCGCGGGGAGCCAAAGCAGGAGCGCAAGCTTGAGCGGCAGCAGGGCTATGGTTGATAGTGGCACCGCAACCACGCAGCTGCTGTGCTGCACGATGAGCAGCAGAGCGCCAGCCATCGCCTGGATCTTTATTTGCATCGTCGATCTGCCGATTCAATTCCCAGAAGGCACGCACCGCAGCGACAGCGCCGGTGGGGACCTACACAGCAGCTGATTAGCAACTCATTAGCCGGAAACACGTAAAGGCTCCCCACAGGCCTGCAGGTATGGCCGTTCCTTGCGCAGTCCCAGCAAGCAGCACCAGTATCTACCCCCCGTATGTCAGCCCGGCAAGCTTATATGAAAGAACGGCTACTTACTGTTCTGAGAGGTACACTCATGCCCGGGGCTCTTTGCAGCGCGAGTAACACAGGGGCGGCAGGGGAAGTCACGCGCCTCGCCGATGGGAGGAGCCTTCTTCTTCTGCGTCTTCTTCTGCGTCTTCTTCTGCTCAAATAGGTATATTAGTAGTGGTCTATTGATTGTAGAGTAGCTGGTCGGATTATATAGTAACCTTGTTCGCGGATTTACGGGCGCTGGGCTGGGTGTTTTTGTCGTTGCTATTAGGTCGGACCCTACCCGCCGCGCCCACGCCATCCACGCCTGCAGCGACTGGATCGGCAGTGGACATTATGATGATGATGTTGATTGATAGCGCCACGGAAACGATCAGGGGAGGCGCCGTCAACTACTTGGACACAGTGATAAATTAGAATGGCAAAGAAAGATCATTTATCAAAAGGTTACTTGGGGCCTCCCTGAATCGGGTTGCGTCTAAGCTATTCCTAATGGGTATTTTCCACAACTCCACTTGCGGTGCTAGTTCGCACCGGGCCAGCCACAGAGCCGCTGCGGGGCAGTTCCGAAGGTCAATCGCGTTTGCTTAAATAGGGGTTCCGCCCTCTAAACCCCCCTATTCCTTGCCCCAACACCACGTTATCGTCCCTGTCTTCATCCTCATCTCCAATGCTATGGCACGACCACCCAATCCAATCGATGAGCACCGCGACTATGTCAGTTTGCTGTACCTCAATGGCGTCTCGCGAAGCCAGATCCAGTATAAGCTTCGGAAGCATTACCATATCGCTATTAACCTCAGCACAATCTCCCGTCGGATAGCCAGCTGGGGACTTCCACGTCAGCAATCACGCACCATTGAGACACCAGAGCTTATAGAGGCTATCCACGACCTGATCCTTCGCATTGGGCTTAGTGAAAGGCAGACCTTGAGTGTCCTGCAGAGGCAAGGCTGGCCCATCACCAAAAGAGGACTCAAACATATCAGACTCCACCCGGACCGCCGCTGGATACGTCGTATTAATAGCGATGAAGAACAGCTTGCTTTGCTGAAGAAGACGGAACAGGTTATTGTTGAGATGACGCAAAGGTCTAATGTCATTGCAGGATATGGAAGACGTTTTCTGCAGCCCTATCTGCGCCAGCAACAGCAACTCTGGATACCAAGAGATCCCCTCTTTGAGATGTATAAAATCATATTCCCGAGCGAGGTTGAGATGCGCAAACGGATGATGCGGAGGAAGAAGGGACAGTTTCTGGTCCCCGGACCAAACTACCAGTGGTGTATTAACGGTCACGACAAGCTGAAGGCATATGGCTTCCAGATATACGCTGCGATCGATGCCTACTTACGCAACATTATCTGGTTCTATGTCGGGCCTTCTGCTTCGACTGCCTTAAGCGTGTTGAAACAGTATCTGGCTGCGTGCGACGCCTACAACTTCCGCCCGTGGTATCTGCAGGCAGATAGGGGTAGCGAAACGCCCTTAGTTGCAGCAGCCCATTGGAACTTCGCTTTGGCCGCTGGCGGATGCGTGGAATGGAATGGATAGGTCTTTCAACAGGGTAAGTAATTGAAGGATTCCTATAAGGCAGCACCGAGCACGAAGAACGTTAGGATTGAGAGTTGGTGGGAGCGTATACTTCACATCTCTTCCCGGCAGTAGGTAGACTACTTTGGAGAGCTTGTTAGGGATGGGGACTTTAACGGCGATATACTTAAGGACTAGATTGCTATCTACGCTATCTTCAAAGATATACTGCGTTAAGAGCTCTTTGATTTCGTAGAGGCGTGGAATCTACATAAAATACGCCTCTAGAAGAACCGGCCTTATGTTATTTATGGCCAACCCTGGATGAATTACTATTACCCTAATCCAAGCAAGGCTTGCAATTGGGGAATCTCCATCGATTGCACAGTTCTAGGTGAGTTAGTACGGCCATTGGCTAATATCGATATTAGTATATATCTTAAGCCGGAAATAAAGAACTGGTACTGCGAAGTTCTTAGGGAAATGGGTTATAATAAAGTAATTCTTAGCAATTACCAGGAGCCTGACAAGTTGCGCCCATTTAAGCGCTTCTACCTTAGCCTTCGAGATAGAATCATTCGGCACATCAAAAGTAGTCAATAGCCTCTACTAGCCTACTATAGAGCCCCAACTAGAGGAGTTGCTGAATATATAAGATTCTATATCTATCTGCACATTAAAATATCTAACTATATATAGAAAGCATTACTTGCACAAGCAAATCAAGCCCAGCAAGATGAACTTGTAGATATAAAACCGGCAGAACAGCTACTTATTGAACTTGGTGTTAAAGATGAAAATAGAAATGACATTAAGGGAATAAGTAATAACGAGGGGGAGGATGGCATGTCTAATGAGGAGCCCGAATAGTCAATTTTTTTCTTTTCTAGGTTGAGAGGCAAAGGTTATAAGGATCTTTATGCCTTTAAAATGTATAGAGCGGGCTAGGGGGGATTCTTTAATGGCATTATCCTCAAATTATTATATTCAAGCTTATTTAATAGATTCCGGGATAACTGCTAACTCCAGGTTTATCTACTAAGATTAGTATTTTGCTAGGTGAAATTTTAACTGGATTTCTTACAAACTCTATTAAAATACTTATCTTATTGCTATAATTAATCTTATACTTTTTGCCTATCTTATACTTATCTTCTTTTTTATTAGAGGCACTATTAAATACTAAACTATTAATGGGATCCTTAAAATTACTTAGATTTATTATATCCCCCTTTATAACAATATTATTAATAATTTTACTACTCTTATTAAATACTAAATTTGGGTAGGAGGAAGCTAGAACTATATTTTCCTACTTAACTTGTCTTTTATTTTTTGCATCCTTTTCTTTCTTAATTTATATTTCTTACTTAATGTACTTTTTTAGCTTAGAAGCTAGGCTTAAGTTTTCCTATTTAACCTTTTATTTCTTATCTTTTTTAATAGGTATTAAGTATTTATCTAGCCTTAATAGAGTAATTAGCTCCTGCTTATTAATTATATTAGCTGATATTAAAATAATAAGTATCTTTAATTATCTTACTTAGTTATTTAAAAAGTATCTAGAAGTAAGTATACTTAATAGCATTATATACTTATTAATATTGGAAATAGTAATAATTTTCTTACTAAAAAAGAATAAAGTATAAAAAAGATTCTAAAGCTTTTTATTAGTTGAATTAATAATACTTAAGAGTAGGTAAAAGTAGTTAAATAAGATTTAAGTAAATAAAAATTAAATAAGAAGATTTACTAAGCTAAATTTAATTATTATATTTTTTAAAGGTAATATTATTTCTGGGATTTCTATTATAAGGTTATTAAAGTATCTAGTTTCTAAGCTTATAAGTAGAAGATTAATATAGATTTATTAGTAGCTAGTATACTACCTTATAGGCTTTTTATTATTACTTTTAGTATTTTAAATAACCTAACTAGCTGCTAATATAATTACTATAAATTGCAAATAAAGAGTATTACTTAATAGCTTAGAGGAATATAGATATACTTATATACTTATAATCTTTTTATTAAAAATAAATATTATATTTAGGATTAGTTATGTGTATTTAATATTAGAAGATAATACTAGCTTAAGTTTATTATATATAAGCTAACTTACTAGACTAACTAGATATAGTAAAGAATTTTCTATTTTAACTATCTTATTATATAGACTAGGAAGAGCTAGAATTCTAAACCTAGCTTAATATTAAGATTAAAAGAAGTTAAATAAGTTATAATAGCTATAATAATTTTTCCTAGTATAAATAATAATAAAGAAATTATAATACTTCTTTTTAACTTTAATATAATAAATATATTTAAGGGGAATATCTAGGTTAGCTATTTTACTAAAAGAGAAATTCTAAAGCTAGAAGAAATAAAATAGGAGAAAGATTTAAATTAAAATTAAGAGGAATTTCTAATATTTACAAAATATCATAATATTACTTATTACTATAATAAATAATAAGTATTAAGCTAGCTTAAATATAGAATTGCTATACTAGCTTGCTACTTATTAGTAGTAAATTAACTACTATAAGCTTTATAATTTTACTTAGATATAGATTATATATACTTATAATAAGAATCTTTCTTATAAGAAATTAATAATATTATAATAAATCTTTAAATTTATATTTTATAAATTTAGGCTTTAATCTTTAATTTATAAATAAATATAGTTTTCTAGTCTTAGTATACTTATATATATATATTTTCAAATCCAGCTTTACTTAAAGATTAAAATAGATAAGTAGCACTTAGTTAATTAATTTATTTAAATATCTATCCTTTAGTCTAGCTCTTATTTATACTAAATATAACTTAGAGTTACTAGAGTTAAGTGAAATTATATAGTGTAATATTATTATAGAGGTGTTATTTATGTAAAATAAATTTTATTAAAAATAATAGCTACTATTAGTTACAAATTAAATTTAAGTAGGATATTTAGATTTAACTTCTAGAGTTAGTTAAGTTTAAGAATTAGTAAGTAAGTATAAAAAAGAATTTCTATTCCCTCTCTAGCCTCTCTTTCTTTCTTTTTTTAATAATTTTTTCTTTTTTTACTTTATTTCCCTCTTCTCTTTTTTTTAATAAGAATATTAAAATAAAGAAATAAAATATAATAACTATATTAATATTTATACTTAAGAAAATTATCTAGCTCTATAAATTATTATAGCTTTTTATCTATTTAGGCTTTATTAAAAGAATGTTAGATATAAAAGTTTGGTATAAATAGAAATTAAGTAGTCTAAGCTTTTATACTTGATTTTAATATACTAGATATATATATTAATTAGTTATAATTTAGGGTTAGTTTTATTATAAGTTAAGGGTTAGTAGCTAAATTATAGTAAATTTATATTAGATAATTAATATAAATAGAAAAGTTTAATAAGCTTTTATTATTTTACTATAGCTATATTATATCTATAGTGTATAGTATATACAATATTAAAAAAAAAAAAGATAAGATACTTATAATTTTACTATACTATTAATAATACTATAATATTATATTAGTAATATATAAAGAACTTAAAAATAGATAAGTATATAATACTTATTAATAAATACTAGCTTCTACTATATAAGATATATTAATATACTATAAATTTAGATAATAGCATTAAGACCTATTTTAATTATATATATTAAATTAAGAGATAACTACTTAAAAATATAATAAATTATATTAATATAAACTTACTAAATAATCTAGTTATAATTAAACTACTAGCTAACTAAAGTAAACTAATTTCAATTCTTAATATATATAGTAATTTTAGCTACAATATATACTACTATATAATATAATTACAGAAGAATATAACCCATTATTAGACAGAATTATAATATAGCTCTAACAGACTAAAATACCATACTATACAACTATAAATATAAATACTAATATAGCGCGTAAGATACTAGATTGTTAGAGCTTATAGCAATAGCAATAATATAATAGCACTGGAGTCTATAGCAATAAATAGCATTATAAATAGGATAATTACTAATAATAAGATAGAGCTACTAGAGGAAGATACCAAGAGAAATAAGCATAGCAATAAGTAGAAGGATATTAATTATAACTTAACTTAAATAAAGAAAATAAAGTAAGTAAGGTACTTTAGGGATTGGAGTCTAACTGAAATCTATAATATAGCTTAGGGGATATAAGCAAAGGCTAGTAAGGTTAAGATAAGAGTCCTTAAGGATGAAAAAGCTATAAGAAAGCTGCAGCTATTTATATAATTAAATAAGAGCTTTAACTAAGAGGTAAATTACTATAGCTAGCAACTAGAAGGTATATTAAAGAAGATATTATAGTGTTTTTATAGCATCTAGCTAGAGAAATTAAGTAGCTTACTATTTAAATATATAGTAAAAGATAAGTTACAGGCTAGCTATTAATCTATTAGATATTGCTACTTAAAGTTCTACTAGTAAGTATATAAAATAGACTGTAAGAAAGTAGTAATATAACTAGTAATATACTTTATAGATAAGTAATAAAGCTTAATAGCAGCTATAACCTACAAGCTAGAAAATGAGTAGCTAGGCGATATTGTTAGATAAATTAAATTATATAATAATAGCAGCTTCTTTAATAGAAGCGATAATATAAGTAGCAAGAGTAGGAGTAATAAAAAGGAGGATAGTAGAGAGTAAAGGCTAGGATGCTATAAGCTAGTAGTTATAGAGATAAAAGTACTTAATTAAGTTGTGTTTTAATTTATAATAGCTTCTATTAAGGTATATGTAGGTAGTAATATATATAGTAATGTAATATTATACTTCTGCGTAGCAATAGGCATCTAAAGGTATCTACTAGGCTATATAGAGGCGTATCTCTTTATAGATATACTAGCAGTATTATTATAGCTTTTTTATCTTTTTTTTTTAAAGGCTAAATTTAAGGATGTATTGCTAGAAGAGATATATATAGGGGTAGAGGTACTTAATTAGTTCTAGTAAGAGTATGAGATATAGATATATATAGGTACTTATATAGTAATAAATAAGATTATTAACTAGATAGTATATAATAAGAAATATTATAATAAGATAGGCAAGCTGCTAATAATATACTAATCTAATAATAATAAGGTATTAGTATATAATAGAAATTATATACTAGTGTATAATTTTTAGTAGGTAGCTTATAAGATTATAATATAGGCAGATAACTTATTAAATAAGATATTAGGTGGTATATAGAATTGTATTGGACTTAGAATAGATATAAAGTAGATTGCTAATAGTATATTATAGCTTAGCGCTAGCTAGTTATTTACAATAAATAATAAGAATATATAGCTAGATACTAGGCTGGGTAAGGTTATGCATTTTATAGAAGTATCTATATTTAATAAGAAGAAGAACTAATAGAAGCAAGCTAGTATATAGAAGTAGATATAGTAGCTATATATATTTCAAGAAGAATTAATACTGCTAATATATATTTAGAAAGGGCAATTAGAGCGTGGGCTGGAAATAGTAATATTATAGTATTATAATATATAATAGTTGCTATATAATATCTTTTTATATAATAAATAGGTTATACTTATAATAAACTGTAATAAGATAAAGATAATTTGCAGAATTAACTACAAGATAGCCTAGTTTCTACCCAACTATATTGGATAGATAATAATTATATATATTATATAGCTTTTACTAGTAAAAAGAATATTGCAGTATAAATATAAGTTATTAGAATTGCAGGAGAAGTACTTAGAATTTTTATGGAGAAATAGCAATTTAAATTGCTAGAATATAAAATAACTTAGCTTAATTATAATATATCTACTATAAGTAGATATTAAGA